GTTGGTTGGCCATTACCAGTTTGTCAGTTTGTATCTGGAAGTCCCACAGGATCTTAGCTTTGTCATTCTCAACCACCTTTGGAGGTGTATCCCATTTTGACTTTGGGACTTCCAGCCTGTACTCAGCACAGATGTTTCTGTACACTATGCCAGCCACTTGGTTATGGCGTTCCATGTATGCCCTGCCTGCTAGCATCTTGCACCCCGCTATTATGTGCTGGATTGTCTCAGGGGCATCTTTGCACAGCCTGTACCTGGGGTCTTGTATGGTATGGTAAACCCCTGTCTCTATTGATCTTGTACTTAGAGCCTGTTCCTGTGCTGCCAGGATTAGTGCCTCTGTGCTGTCTTTCAGTCCAGCTTTGTCCAGCCACTGGTAGGATTTTTCAATTATCAGCCTGGGTCCTTAGGCAAGGCCCTTAATCCTACCTGCCTACCACAGGAAAGTAGAAAATGAGATGAGAGATACTGTAGCTGCATCTTTGAGGAGTCACGGAGGAATAATGTGTTTTAGCTCTGGTTTGTTTCCTGCCAAGTCCTCAGAAAATTATCTGACTCTTTTGCCAGAACCTCGTATTTACTCCCATTCATTTCCTATTAGATAACAAAACCATTAGTGGTATCATGATGTAATCAGAAAGCCAATATCAGGATGTGACTTTTACATTTCAATAAACCAGACTGACAAAGGTCGAGACTTTGAATGTGCAATAACATAATATTGGGGTATTAGTCGTTTTGGATTGTGTAGTGAATCACAGGAAGTACTAAATTAGTCTTACAGATCCTCTGTAAACCCTCCCTGGTGACTGCTATTAAAGGCCATAACACTCTGCAGACCAAATAAATTTGTCTCAGCTGGAACTAAAAATATCCTTTTCTGGCTTTTTTTGTATTGTTCAGGAAGCGGCTGTCAGACGGTCAGCAGGGTGACACAACTGTCCAGGAACGCTGGCCGAGTAATCGGGTGAATACTTCACATTCCTGCAGGGAGTAGGTTAGTGCACACACACATACACGTATCAACAGAGGTTTGTGATTTTCATCCTAAAACCAGTTTGTAGTTTTCTGTATATGAAACCTGCAGCTGTTGCCTTTAATGACAAAGCCACACACACATCTTTTTAACACAACTATTCAAGTGAACCTCAAGTGAAGGAATTGGTTATTTATTACGCAATTAATTTAAATGTAATTGTTGCCTGAAGTTATACTTTCTGCAAAAGGTCTTTGAATATAAACTAGTGAAGATGTATTTACAGATTAATCTTGTATTAAGTATTGAATGATCTCTCACACAAGGTGATAAAACAAAGGCAGCTCAATTAGAAGTAACTTTATCTCCAGCCAATTAGGCCCATCTGTCCAAACATAATCTGTAGAAAGGTCTTTTTACACCACCACCTGATCCATGATCCTACAACATGACATTCAAGCATAACCTGGTGTGGGATTATTATTGAAAACTGCAGGTGAAAACTTCAACACGCTAAAACCTGTCATCTAGAATAAAACGCTATAACTGCTAATAGGCTACAGGCCTGTCATTCAGTGTGGAATTCAGTATTTAGTGTTTATTTCTCCTGTTAACTCATTTATCTCACTGTGCAAAGGAAAAGGCACCAAACAAGTGATGGTTACTATCACCAAATACCATCTATACCACACTCACGTGCTACTGGAGTTATCGCAATTATGAGTTTCCCACTTGTAAACAGTGTTTATGTCAACATCCAAGTAGTAATTGGGAACCTCTGACTCAGAAATATCTTACAGTAATTGTCTGTAAACCAAACAAATATGGGTGCTTCAAATCAGAGATTCCAGTACTGTCCTAATGAACACTCTTTTTTTTTCCATTTGACATGAACGCAGCATTACGGAATTAATGTTCAAAGCTGTCTACTGGAAACAACCGACAGCATTTAACTAGGAATTGCTTATTGTGAATGGGGATGATTTTCAACATCAAATTTTTTAGAGTTAGTGGCTGCTCAAAAAAGATCTTGAACACGGTGATCACCAAGTTTCTGTTTATTTTATTTCTACACATTATAACAAAAACTTCATTTACTTCACAGAACAGATTTTTTAGAATTCCTTGTTATCCTTGTCATTTTAAGTGAAACATTTCAAATTTACAAACCTAAGCTAGCAGTTTTGCTCCACATCCAGTCTTTGTGCTAAGCTAAGCTAAACATGTTATACTGTACACATGGAAATGAAGCTACTATCAATATTCAGTTTGCTATTGCTGTTTATTACTGTATCATCTTGTCTGCCACATTTAACACTGTACTGAACGGTATTCTTGTTACATAGGCTACATATTTAGATAACCACAGTATATCAAACAATATTGCTAGCTAAATGACTACTAATGTTTTGCTAGCAGCAATAAATTCAAAAAATGACTGAAGGATAAAAAAAAAAAACAATCAAATACTAGCTGATGTTATACTAACTGTAGTTATGAATTTTATTTCATGGAACAAAGTAAAGCCAATTAATAACTTCTGCCTAGCATAGATTTTTATTTCTGGCAAACATGAAAAGGGGAATTTTAACACATTGTAAAAATAATAACTCTGCAGCCATAAAACTAATATAATATCCTCCTCCTGGCTGACTTTTGGATTTATCGTATACATTATTTTTTTTAATCTTGGTTACCAAAATACAAAACTCAGGCTATATATCATGAATATAACTTGCAGAAAAGCAGCATTTAGCAGCCTTAAAACAGAACAGAAAAAATAAGAAAATGTTATTAACACACAACCCAACTTTCAGAGGTAAGTCTTTAAAGGCTGAAGGTTGAAATCTTGAAAAAAAAAAAAGAGTTTTTTTTAACCTGGCAAAATTTGTGATTTGCCTTTTCCAGCTTTCCATCTGTCCAGTTCTCAAAGGTTTAAGTCAACCAATAAGCTTATTTATGCCTGAAATAAGCATTTGGTAACTCTTTTTAGGTGCTTTAAAAATAAAGTTTCCTTGCTTTGAAACAAATATTAAAAAGTTAACCATAAATCTGCACAAAATCCAACCCTGACATTTCAGGAATGAAAAGACAGTTTAAATGATAATTTCAAAGGTTTAGTCAGAGTTCCAATGACCTTAAAGTTAAAAACGAACACAATGATAATTTTTCCATATATAGTGCAAATGTAATGTTCTTAGTTTAGGTTCCACTGACTTCATCTGGATTTATTATTCAGCTTTTGTCTTCTCTGCTAATGCATTTTACTTATATTTAAAACATTTAACTTGTTTTCTAAAATTTGTGTTTGTTTTAAGAAAACAAGAATTATGAAAATGACATAGATATACTGTACGCAGAATTTTTATTATGTGACAACATGGGATTACCCCATAGTTGAGAAAACTCTTACTGAAATGCAGGACAAAATTAATCTTGAGGAGACAGTGAAATAAACATTCAGTTTGCTCATGACCCCAGCAGATAGAGTTTGCTCAGCTGTCCCTCTACAGCAGATGTTCAAAGTCAGTGTTTCTGTGACTGAAGACCACGAGTCAAAAGCTCCCAAACAAGCTCATATGTTATTTTTATTACTGTATTTATTTCTCATTTTATTTAGCTTCCTCTTATTTGTTCATTCACTAATTAATTTCCTAAAATGTCAGGTCTGGTCCTCTGTTGAGCTGCTGTTTACATCTGAAACACAGCAGGCTGAAACCAGCACATCTGGATCCAGTCACTCAGTACTTTAAGTGCTAATAAATCAACTAACTGCTTCTGTAAGTACTTTAAACACTGTTGTGTCAACTAAATATTTCTTTAAATACTTGAAACACTAGTAGGCTCAGCTGAACGAGTAGTTGTCAGCTAAATGTCTTAAGTGTTTTAAACATAAATATATCAGCTGGACTTCTTTTCTTTGCAGGATACTAATATTTCAACTAAACATATAAAGACTTTCAGCTCTATTTATTTGGTACTATTTAGCCACAACATATTTGTTTTGTTTTTTTATATAAAACAAGCACTCCATAACCATAGTCAATATAAACATGATTAATATATTACTGGACTAATATTTTGTCTTGTCTGACACTTTTGTGGCTTCACTGTCTATGAAGCACTTTGTAAAGGAGCAGTATTAAAACTTCTTAAACGTGAACACCACATTTTGTTGAATACCATATTGTGTGTGTCTCAGTGCTGACAGGGTGTATCCAGGTTTTGCCCGCACTTCCAGCAGCAGTAATGATGATGATGCCATGTTCGTCCATCTTTCGACGTGTGAAAAGATGGGCAGAAGATCAGCTGGGGGAATGGGTAGATAATTAAGTTAACAATGAAGTATCAGGCATGTATTGCAATGGCACTGTGAAAAACAGGGTTAATTAAGCAGGGTTAATACTGCACTAAATGGATCAAATTCTGATAATAAAAATTCATTTTGCAGGGTTTGTTGTGCTGAAAAAAATGTATTCACAGCTGCTCCTTTTTCAGTGATTATCTATGAAAAAACATACTTTTTGGGCCTAGTTTGCATCATGTGAGGAATGTCAAAGTTGTAGTAGCACATAGTTTGGCCACTACGCCAAAATTGTGAAGCAATTGTGAAGACCGAAGGGAAAAACTGCTCCTACTCTGGGCTTAAAAGGGACCTGTACAGTATGAAAACACGTGGCATTCACCAAAAAAAATCTAGACTATAGGTCTACAGTCATGCTTGCAGCTCTCTGAGGTAGAGATGCTAACATCAGCATGCTAACATTTGCTAATGGTTAAATAAACAAAATATAGCTGAGGCTGAGTTGGATGGGATTGTCAATAAATTTGCAGGTATTTAGCCATGAATCGAGAATGGGACACATTTTAAATTTAAAATAATGGTGGAAGGAAAGTAAGAGGATTACATCGGGAGACATTTTTATGCCCTCACAGCTGATCATCAGTTGACAGTTGACATCTCTAAGTGCCTTTGTCTGATAATAATCACCTCTACAGGTCTGAAGTTGTCTCACCTCGTCACAGCCTGAACATCGTGGCCAGACTGTCTGACAGTAGTGTCTTCCGCAGAACAGCTTCTGATTGGACCAGAAGTAGACCAGGTCCACCAATCCCTGGCCACACTCCGAACATACAAAGCAGGTGGGATGCCACAGGGCACTATGGTAACCTGCACGCTCAGCATAAACAGCTGGACTCTCCTTGGCAACCTCACCATGGCAACCAGTACACCGCTGGAAGAGAGTAAGAGGTCACATACAAAATTAATAAAACAAATGTTCCACAAGATCCACAAGATGTTTGCTTTAAAAAGAAAACAGGTGGGCCATACCCATTGCAGTGAGGCATTTTGGCAACAGTGAGGCATTTTGGCAACAGTGTGACAGGCACATGAAGCATATTTTCACTAAGAGAAGGCAAATTGGATGTGGTTGGTAGTCTGTGCTGGGTAACATTAAGGGGTCCACAATACTTCAAAAAATTGAAAATATAAATTACCTGGGTATAATTCCAGTTTACCTAGTAAGCAGACTACAGCAATCAGTCCTCTAACAAATGTCACTGCTCACAAGTTTTTGCAGTTGTGTGTTTGATAGGAAAATACAACCATTTTGACAGAAAAATAATCTTAGAAGGATGAATTCAGGCAAAGGAAGTAGCCCACAAAGAGGCAAAAGATTCAAAACATGCAGGTATGGCTCAAAAGCTACAGCTGGTAAAACAATTTAGACAATCTGGCAAGGAGCATGTGGAAAGCAGCTGGTATATAAATTGGGGAAGTAACTGGGGAATAAGGAGCAGGTGTGCAGATGCAAGGCAGTGTCAGGTGACTGAAAGCGTAAAAGACCGGGGAGGTCTGGAGGCTGGATGAGTCAGCCAACAGGATCATGGCAGGAATTATGACCATGACAACAATGTGCTATAATGTATAAGCTTATCAAGTTGTTTTATGTAAAATTTTGACCTGAGATTTAACTAGTAAATATTGCTGTAACTACAGTGGATAAAAGTAAAAACCATATTTCCTTCTGAACTGTTGTGGTAAAACGTAGCAATAACTGGAAATACTCAAAATATGTTATTTGTACTTAGGCAGCGTACTTAAGGAAATACACATAGTTGTTGATCACCAATAGACATGCATCTGCTGAAGTTTCCTATCTGTCTTGCAGTTCATCTTCAGTTTGGCAAAATCTTCTTCAGGCTGGCGTTTTTAGAAAATCACCATAAACTTGAAGGGAAGCAGCAAATACCAGTGTGATTCTTGCATCCAGGATTACCAGAGATTAATGTTCAGAGATACCAAACACCTCAGTTTATTTACATACATATTCAGCCTTAGTGCTGTCTTCTGTTCCATTAGTGGAACCAGTAGCGGAGGCAGCGCTGCAATTGGTGGAGCTGTGGTCCTGGTGCTCCAGAGCATCCTTCTTGTTACTGTTGCTGCGGTCCTTGGCCTCCTTTGCTGTGGTCTGAATGGCTGCTTCCCCGAGAGCTCCACCCTCACCCGGTAAGGCCACCTCCCCAACTCCAAGCACCTCTTGTTTGTAGTGCTTCACAAACAGCAGCATGGAGGAAATCTGCAAAATGATATTGGAGAAGTAAGCAAACAGTCAACCTTAAATTGGTTTTCAGGCATAAAATCTGTTATTAGAACTGATTTGAGCAATATTTGTTTGTGAACATAACCGATCTAGTGGTAGCTTGGTAGCTAACAACAACTGGCTTATTACCAATGAAGGTCTGGACTGTTGAGAATGAATCAGAACAGATTTAAGTTGTAACAATCCCATATTTTTACATTGTCGATCATGAGTGATTAATTAGCGTTTGTTCCTGGCGGATTGCTGTACCTCCTCGTCACTGGCCAGACTCTGACATTTCATGGGGTCCTGATCGTAGATTGGGAGCTGGATGAGGAGCTGCCTACGTCGTTCCAATGCTCCAACCTTCCCCGAGACTGGACGTCGACTCTTTGGGATGAGCTCCATGTACTGCATGGCCTGAGGGGGGTGAAGGGACTTTTAGTTCTAGTTAGATGTAATCCCAAATTCATAGACTGAGACATGTTGACATGTCTGTAGTACTGAAACATCCGTCCATTCAATCCACAGTGACTCAGAGCTTCATTATGGCATCTCTGTCCCGTCAGCAGCCAAGAGGACATCAGGTGGACAAATAGTCCTAGATAAGCTGAGAATATCAAAGACTTTCTGGACAAAAATAGTTTTACAGTTGGCCCCATGAGTAGAATATGGGCCCAACATAGATCTACATGTCTACAGTGATGCTAGCTCTTAAAAAAGGGGGGAATTGATCCATCATGACAGATAAATAGGGTCACAGCATAAAAAAACAGCAGACAGATTTCTAGAATTGTTTGTAGTTGCCCACATTTTGTGTTTAACAGCAGATTGATTGTCTTTGTGCCTCTGCATTGGTCTGTTTATCATTTGTCTTTATGTAACAATGTTACAGAACTGGAATTTAAAATCTGATTCTCTCTGTTTATTGAATCTTAGTCAAAGTCAATACATTATAAAGAAAAAAGACCAGTTACACATTGCAGTGTGGATGAAAACATGGGCATATACTGTAACTGTCTTCCTCTGACTAACATGCTTGGATGCCAACCTGTGTGTCAGCTGTCATCACACTGCCCAGGTGTTCTCGATGACTCACCTGTGTGTCGTCAGATGACTGCACCAGAGTAACAGCCTGGAGTAGCAGACTCTACACACTGCAGCATTCATTTCACAGCAGAATACAAAAACATGGGTTGAAACAAACATGCTGAAGATGTTTAGAGGCAGATCTGGCAAGCAGTCTCTGTGCTGGTTCTGTCTATACAAGTTGAACCGCGGTAAGGGCCCCCCTCTACTCAACAATCACTGTCATCATCATAATTACAGGCTGCAAAACCTGAAACATACTGCAGCCTGTTTTTAATGAAAACCAGATGATCCAGACTGTTCTGCAGAGAAGGCTGCAGAAACTAAACTAGACCTCAGTAGTGAGTGAAGTGAGGGTAAGTCTTCAGCACTAGAATAAAACTGCTCTGGTTGACAACATAATCTACTATACATTTGCATTTGTCACGTCTTTTGTTTGTACTTGATTTCTGGGTTTTCACTTCCAAAACAAAGGTTTAGTCCACCTGACTAAATTGTGAATTTATTTAAGACCTGATTAAATGTGTATGGTTGGTTAGTGCACTTTTTAAAACTTTACCAGGCAGAGACATTGTCATAGCTGCTGAATGAAGTGCAACTTCACAAACTGATGCAGACCAACAAACTGCAGCTTCATGCAAACAACCAGCCTCCTGTACTTTATACTGATCCTCACCAGTTTCTGGTTGAGGCCAGCCGGCGCCCAGACGTATGTCGTAGTTTTGAAGGTCGGATCTTTGCGTGACACCGCCGTATTTGTCACAGTCATACGGTTTCTCTTGTACATGCGAACACCGCCACCTCCTTTGACCTTTGCTGTCAAATGGGAGCAGGGTGAGTCTGCAAGCAGGCGTCCCATTTGCTGGTCATCTTCGTGATCACCTCCAGGAGCGTGGTCGACCATGGTGCAGCCACAGGCTACACAGGCTTTTCTGCACACAAGAGAGGTGAAGAAGAATGGAGGGATGAGAGAAACTTAAGTCTAAATCAAGTGAAAACAAAATCATGTCACAGCGGTTTGTAGAGAATTTTGAAGACTTACAGACCAGATGTGGTGGTATTCTGTGTACTGTGTTACATCAAAGTTAACTGGGTTGGAGCGGTGTCTGACTATGTGGGATGCTTTTTGTGCCTTTAGATGGTTTCCCCCCTAGTAAAAATTAGGGTAAATACCAATGGAAGGGTCCCTTTTCTTACTTATGCAGTATGACCAAGATTCACAGGGCCAGTTTCATTAGCTCAGATCAACTTGTGTAAAAAAAAAAAAAAAAAATCTACAAAATCAAATGATATTTCAATTTGTTAGAACTAGGATAAACATGATTTCTTATTATTCTTTCTATTCCTTCACTTGTGTCTTTTTAGTTGTGTCTTAGTTCCACCCATGTAACATGTGAGGAACAGAATAGAGGGATCAAGGAAACATGTTTAGGAGACATGAGATTTCCTTTTCTCCAATTGTTCATTTGAAGCATCCAATCACCAACTGATTTCAGATAAAGGGGCGTGTCAGTCCATAAAAGACTTCCACAAAAGATACACTCTTGTATCCTTGCTCATGGCCCCTACAGCAGCCTCCTTGCTCATGAATCCTCACTACTCAGAGCAGATTTCAGTTCCTTTGGACATCCAGGCATTCCAGTTGAGTGAGGACTAAGGAACGATCATACAGTATAAAAGACATAAGGTGCAGCTCAAAAACAGGCGCCATGACAGTTACAAGGACAGGACCCCTCACTGACTTCTCACCTGTAAAATCTGCACTTCAATCTGTTTTGATTAAAGAAAACAACCAAATTCAAATGTTCTTTTTTTTTTTACAATTTCCTTGTTTATTTCCTCCATGTAGCTTGTAAGCTTGTGAGCACAGTGATTTCAAACAGCCGACTCCCATCTCAGCTTCAGTCAGCTTGCCTTGACTGTATAAATATTTGCTAAAATATGTAAAACCACTAACATATTCCTTTCGGAGCAGAGAGTAATAGAGATGGAAGGAGGAGAGGAGAAACCACCAGGACTCCATCCAGAACTTTTCTTTGTTCTCTTTTCATTTCTTTCATAGTTTTTCTTTTTGTTTCATTTTTCAGGCAAAAAAGAAATTATGAAAATAAAAAGCAGGAAATGGTTGTTGTGTACCTCCAAGAATGTGGCTGGTATCCAGTGCAGCTCCCCTTACATGTGAGACACACCCCTGCACCTCCTCCTCCGGCTTTGTTCTTTACAGACATCTGAGAAGAGGCACAGCACACCACAGAACAAACACGATTATGGATGAATTTCTGTTTTACATTCAAAGAATTTATATAACTTTGATCGAGTGAGGTACAGTCAAAATAAGATTCTACATTATAGACAACAAAACAGCGAGGCCATCAGAGGTCAGAGGTCACAGCCTGTCAAGAACTAGAGCTAGTGTAGAAGTTTGTTTACACCAGGAAGAGAAACAATAGACGAGAAGCTTGGAATTATAAATGTTAAGTCAAACCTAAGATAACTAGGTCATTATTATGAGATAAGATTTATTCTTTCATTTTAGGGATATTGTAACAACACATCAGTCAGTCACTGTTGTACTGGGTGTTATGTTCCTTCATTACCACAAACACACACTGTACTTGAGTTTGGCTCAGTCTCATATACACGGTCCTGCTGCTGGAAATACTCACTAAGGCAGCAAATGTGGATTAATTAAACAGGTTTTTACCTTTTAACTGAGCTTTTAACCGACTTAAGCAGCTGAGAAGGATTATTTGGAGGACAAATTATTTGACTTTCCTTAAGTGATGATGAAAATGAAGACATGAGAAAGTGTGGGTTGTGTAAGATTATCAGCTTTTAACATTTCTCACTAAGAGGGAGGAAGAGAAGGGAGTGAACACTACACACACACACATAATCTCTGTGAAGATGCTCATTGGCATAATGCATTCCCTAGCCCCTTATCAGAACTATCACAACTAAATGTCTTGATTCTAACCTGAACCATAAACCCCAGTCTGGGCCTTCAAACAGCCCTTTGAAGGTGTGACAGACTAAAATGCCCTCACAAATGTGGTAGTAAACTAAAATTTGTCCACGCATGCATAGAAAGACACACACACACACACACACACCAGCAGGGTGAATGATCTCACTGGTCCACCCAGTGACATCATCTGTACTGAAAAACCTCCAGATTCTTATCTGTCCTCTCAACACTTCATCTTTCATCTACTCCTCCTCAGCTCTGCAAACCTTTTATCAAATGTTCAACAGACATGGTAGTTTTATTCAGAGTATAGAAATATAATATCAGATTAAATAAATTATCAGTGTGGATGGTGAAAGAAGAAAGATTTCTCTCTCCAGGATGTTTTGCTTCTTTGATTGATTCTTTCATTCACACAACCATGACAAATTGTAGTTTGAATATTCTACATATCCTGATTCTATTTATTCTTCTAAACAATGTGGAAAGTTCAGACTTGGTTCCAACTTGTGACTGCTGCTCCAAAGTAAAAGTTATAACTACAGGCATCATATTCTCTTTAAACTTAGATTTCAAACATATTTGTGCCTCTGCAACTAAACTTCAGTTTAGTTATTCTAACTTTTTGTTTGTAAAATTTAAATAGTTGTGTTTCAAGGGAGACCAGACAGTAATCGAAAGGGTTGAAGAGCAGTAACTGTTTTGTTTTAGGTGCATTATTTGTAGCTTGTGCACAACAATGGGAGTGTGTGGTGAGGGGTTTAATATGGTGATGAGTTGGTTTTTCAGACCAACAGTGATTTGTTTTTGGTTCTAAGAAGGTTCTTCTATGTTCTTGTACCTTAAGACTTTAGAATTAGATTTAGGTTAGGGATAGGCATTTAGTTCTGAAGGTTAGAGTTAGGGTAAGGAGCTAGGAAATGCATTATGTCAGTGTCCTCACAAATATAGATGTACATGTGTGTGTGTGAGAGAGAGAGAGTGTGTGTTTCAAAGCCTCTGGCAGGAAACCTGAAGACTGTTCTGCTAAAACAACTCGCTGCTATTTGTCTGACTAACTGACAGACTGTCTATCTGTCAGCAGGTATTAACAAGCCCGTCTCTCATCAGGGAGAAGTCATACGTGAATTATACTGTATATTTATAGAGAGAGACACAAGCTGTGTCAAATGATAAATGACTATATAAGCTGCAGTAATCTCCACTCTTCTGGTTTCATTTTTTTCCACCACACTTTGGACCCTGGCTGCAGGGATTTGAGCAGGAGTGAGGTCCAGCACTGAGCTGGCTCACAGTCGGTGTTACAGTTCATCTCAAAGGTGCTGAATGGGGCTGAGGTCAGTGCTCTGTGCAGGCGAGTCAAGTTCTTCCACACCAAACTGGGAAAACCATTTCTTTATGGCCCTGGCTTAGAAGGGGCCAAACACAAACTGTTGACACAAAACTGGAAGAACTTACATAAAATATCAATGTGTTGTAACATTAATGGCAAAGTTTGACATGTTGTGAACTCTGCCTATTGCTTTTCTGTCTGAGAGTTAGACGAGAAGATTCATATCACCCTCACATCTGTATATTAAATATGAAGCAACAGCCAGCAGCCAGTTAGCTTAGCTTAGCATAAAACTGGAAACAGCTCTGTCCAATAGTCCTAAAATTCACCTACCTGCACCTCAAATACATTTTTAACACATTATACATAAAATAGCAAGATGGCATTTTAAGTTTAATTTTTTGTACAGATTGAGAAAACAAATTATTAATTACTGACCATTAGCTCTTTCTGGTTTTGTGCCAAGCTAAGCTAACTTCATAACTACTGCTAACTTCATATTTATTGCAAAGACAAGAGAATTGTGTCAATCTTCTTAACAAGAAAGTAAATAAGCAAATTTTATTATAATTCACTTTTGGCTGTTCCCATTAGGGGTCGCCACAGCAAATTGTCACACTAACAACTTGCACGGTGAAGTATGGCTCATGGTTTATGCTGGATGCCCTTCTGATGCAACCCTGACTCGAACCCGGGCTGCAGGGGCAAGAGTGCTGAATCCTAGCCACTAATCTATCAGCAAATTTTATTAAATAATTAAAAGATTTTCCTTCTTTGGATGTAAAAGAGCCACTAAAAGCAGAACATGATGCAGTGAACTGCATATACACATACATTTTATAATTATCAGTACCTTATTTTTCTTTTCTTGTTCTCACAGTCTTATCTTGTTTACTTGTTGCCTTATGGAAGAACATTGTACATGCACATTAAGAGCCACTGTGCCAGAATCAAACTCTTCATGTGTTCAACACACCTGGCCAATAAATCTGATTCTGAAGTATGTTGACACACATGTCCACATACCTTTGGCCATACACAGTTCTTTTTGGCTACACATATTTCTCTAAAGAGACACAGAAATAAGACTTGTGTTGTCTCTTCTGTTGTTGCTCACATTTCTTATATTAATAATGAGTCTAATTTTCTGATGGTATGTGAGCATGACATACCTGATGTTATCTGGAGAGAGAGAGCGAGAGATGAGCAGTCATTAGCAGGGAGAGAGGACGCTGTGTTTAGAGGTGTGAAGTGTGTGTGTGTTACAGTAAAGAGGCCATGTTGAAAAGATCACAGCGGTGATGAACAGAAACATCTGTACTACAAGAGTTCATTACCTCCCCCTGGAATACACTGACTGACAGAGTGTGTGCCTACAGTATTATTATGTTACTGAGCAGACACCCGTTAACGGCCGCCTGGACACTTTGTGATGTCAGGAGCAAAACACCTTTAGTTCAAATTGAATCAGCTTTAAAAGACCATTCCTTTAAAACTCTATTGTTGCTGGTGAGCTTAATATCTTTAAGAATAAAGAAGATGTATACACTGAATTAAATTTAATGTATCTAAGTAATGTTTGTTTAATGCCAGTGACTACACTGACTGTGACTCTGGTGTGAGGAGCATGTGAATCACTAAAACTTCAGACATGACTCAAAATGTCCTCTAAATAACAAAGAAACCGATTACTCAGACTGACACTGTGGAATGAATCTGGCATGATGCAGGTGATAAAATTATTTTAAATTTAGGAACAATTTGAGATTTGTGTAACATTAGTGCTTTGTGTCACATTAGCCATAACCAGAGCGTTCTACTGGTTTGACAAGTTTACTCATTTGCCAGCTAATGCTAGTTTTGGACTGGAGGCTGCCTTTTGTGCAGTTTGTCAAAACCAGGCATCTGTAGTTTATGTCATAGCTAGGAGACGGGGTGTGATGGGAGAGGCAAAGGGCAGCTATAGGAGCAACTTATGGTGTCGGTTTGTTTTGAATGTCAGTAGACTCTGTAGGCTGAAAAGAAATTAGGTTGAGAAGCTTTAAAGAACAATTCATATGTGCCTCTTAATCTTTAAAGTTTTTAAAAATGTTTTCTCCTGCTTCTAACAGTTATCATCACTTACTGTAGATGGTTAATCTTTAGTTTCCCCATAGGCCTACTCTACTCAGAACTCCTCACAACTAAAACTGCATTATCGTACTTATGTGCCCTGGGCTTGGGATGATTTACCAGACAAACTTCATCTTGAAGCGTCATTTTCAGAAAGTGTTATTTGTTACAAATGGTCAAGTTTGATTTCATTTCATATCATTCAGGTCATGTTTTGTTGTGCTAAGTGGTTGCCGTAAATTCATAATGTGTGTTCCTATGTGAATATAGGTGGGTTTTTATCCACTTGTAAAAACAAATCAAAATCAAAAACATAAGTGGAAATGCTGAAATTTTGAAAAGAATTATGACAACATTCCAAAAACAGCTTTTCCAGTGGACATTTGCTGCCATGATAAAAACCAAAACACAACAATGTGCAATGGAAACAGACTTTGTAGTTAATTTGTCTGTATTTATTTATGACTATTTTCTTCATAAAATCATTTCCATTAAATTATCCAGCAACCATGTTAATTGTTTTAGCCCTCATATTTTGGCTGCTCTTTATTGGGTTCATAATCTGTCACAGTGCGTCCTGCACCTTTTACAGTAAAGAAACTCAAACTTGCTTCTCAAATAAAAACCTGAACCAATGAATTATTTCAAACAGTGATCTTAACCACAAATAATGATCAGAATAAGAGCCCGGGACCTTTCTGTGTGGAGTTTGCATGTTCTCCCCGTGTTTGCGTGGGTTCTCTCGGGTACTCCGGCTTCCTCCCACAGTCCAAAGACATGCAGCTTAGGTTGATTGGTGTCTCTAAATTGCCCAT